CACTTTTTTAAGCGAGAGATTCTTGATAAAAAAAAATTAATATATGAAATATGTGAAACATTGGCCGGATATTTTTACTACCAGATCTGACCACTACGTCTATCCATACAAATAGAAGTACTAATTCAAAATAAATATGATTGAATGATACAAACTAAGATGCATAAAGTCGTTACTTCAGAATACTTACATACCAAACATTGCAATTATTTATCTTTCGTTCTCATCTTTCGAAATACAAGGGCGTACGTCTATTTATATGAACATGAGTGAACATGTTTTGTTGTGTTAAAGTCGTATCACTGTTCGATGGATTTCCGCTCTCGGTCATTTTCTAAGCTTAGTATAGCCAAAAGAACAAACTACGAAATTTGTAGTCGTAATTAATCACATATATAATACGAAATCGAATACCTAATCTTCATTGTATATTAACTTCAACTGTCCCACCCTTGCTTTTTTTATACATGTAACATTACTAAACTCTTCTTTTCCGGTTTGATGAAAAAAAGATTTGGCTGATTAATCGGCTTTGATCAATTGATATAAGTCAAATCACATGTTTTCCTTTTATATACCAACCTCTCGAAAGGACTAGAGAAAAGATATAGTTAAACCATTTAAAAATAAAGTGAAAACCCCAACGACTAGAAGATTTTTTTTTTGTCGAGATTGGTGATGGATAGGTACGATCGTGGGAAACTGGAAAAAAAGGCATGAAGGTCTAAAACTAAAAGCGAAGAGGAGAGAATCTATGGAGTCTTTAACCGAAAAATACTCCTTTTTTTTAATATGGATTCAATTGTATGTTGATAAATGATAATTGTTCCACTATATTTGCTTATTATATATGCTTATATGGATAGATGGACCATGGTATATAGATTCACGAATTATACATCATTCTGACTTTGGCGTAACATTATTACCTTTTTTTTTTTTACCTATGCGCGCGTAACATTATTACTTGTATTGAAATCATATTTGAAAAAAATATACAGTAGTGATCATGCATATGTACATTTTAATTTCACCAGATCTATGGTAGCATAATCGTTAGGTGTGCGCGTAATTTAAAGATTCATACGTTGAAACTTTGTAATCATTGCACCATATATAAACAAAAAAAAAATACATTTTCATTTGTGTCCATGTTATCAACTGATCGATCAAATATTATTTGTTAATTTTTAGTGAAAATTCATTATATGCATACTGCATAGGTACACGTGTGTAGACAAGCATTATTCTCCCAAACCATCGGGTGCAGACAACACATACATCTAAATTATGTAGTACATCGGTCTAGGCTTATAGATTTTTTTTTTTGTTCTGGTAAACATATAGGCTTATAGAGTTAATGATAGAGATCGATATGATATGTGTATATATGTACGACATGTGTCCATGGTCATGTGTTAATAATCACTAATCTATAAAAGATTAACGCAAGAAATCTATAAACATTAATAATAGAGTTCTCGAGTTTTATTGCACACATGCGTTTCTTCTTTAGTGAGCTTCGTTTTTGCATAATAGTCCAAATCAATCATTTATATTAATGGGGATTTTTTAAAATAAAAGATTAACGCGAGAATTGGACTTTAAAAAGGTTCCATTAAAAGGGATGCTCAAGTAGAAGAAATGATAGGAGGAAGAGACTAGAAAACTCGCTCTATATGAGCATATTGCATCGTGCGATTCAACTTAAACAAAAACTAAGTAGAACTTAAACAAGGATTAAGTGTCGTTTAGCTTCAATTCTAAGCTCTTCCTTCATCTTTCTGATGAACTCATCGAATTTCTTGTCCATATCTTCCTCCGTTATCAATCCCACA